ATTGGTTTTCTTTGTGTTACAGCAATAGTCAAACTTACATAATATGGCAGACTGACAGCTAAGAATAATCTTATTTGAAGATCTAATAGGTATATCCAATCCAAATAATTATTAGGATGAAGCTGTTTTGTTGCTAACTTGATTCTTAATTCTTAAGTACTTTTATAGAATGTGAATTATTCGTCTTATATTGATTCTGTCTTGCCAGCCTGAAGATAGATGATAAACAAATCGATAAGAATTTTGGAATTTTGTATAACTTCTTGCTAGATGATTTCCAAGAGATAAAGAAACTTGTCCAAATTTCTGTAAATTATGTTATTGTTCTTCTTAATCAAGAAGAGAGAGCTTTTGTTCCCCAAGTTTTGGCAAGCAGAGAAAACTGCATTTTTATTGAGTGCTAAGTTTCAAGAAAGGATGCTTTTGATTATGACCCTAGGGAGGAAGCTTTATCTTCGCACAGAGATGAATAGTAGTCATGCTTCTCCTTGGAAGAATCTTTAGATTATTTTTGAAAAATATTCGAGCGCTTCACTTCTAGGCAGAAGAAGTTAAAGAGAGATACTGTTTCTTTTGGCATACCTGAAGAAAGTTGAATAAGGTCTGTAGGTAATACTATATCGATATTCAGTTTCCTGATTTTGATAATTTTATTGTCATGTAGATGATTGTACTTGTTCTTAAGAAATGCACACTGAAGTGTTGAAGGGGCACGATGGCCGCAGCTTACTCTCAATGATTAAAAAGATCAACCGTGTTCGATAGTTTCAGCATTAAGCATATTTGCTGCAAGTGTTTTTGCTGCATAACTAATTGACTGTAACACAATTTTGCCATAAAAGATAAAAAAGGAAAAAATAAAAGAGGGACATTAAAATTAATAACAATATTAAAAAGACTTTATGATGAAAAGTAGAAATACAAAAAATATTTGAATACATTTAAAATGTATGTAGATTCATCGCAGTACTGTGCAAAGAGCTGCTTTTATTTTGTGGGTTGTACCTAAGCACTTGTTGTTGTCAAAGTCTTTCGTGAATTAGTAGCCGCTGCTTTTATATTTTTGCTGTAGCTTGGTAAACTTTTGGTTTTGACAGGTGGGAGAGATGATTGTGTTCACCAAAGGATTTGCAAACTGATGTGTTATTTTCTAGTGTGTATGGAATCTGGTTTTACACTGTCTTATTTCACACTTCCTATAAATTTTCTCGTGTGTTTTCTATCAAGTCAGTATAGGTAGTTGTTATGATCTACTATTTTAAGGCTACCACGTCTATTCATCACTGTATAGACCAGTTTGAGGGCTAAGATTTATATAATATAAAAATGAGAGTAGTGTGAGAACTTCATCAGTGTAGAAGAAATGAAACCAAACTGTCAACCAGTTATTTCATCTTTTATGGCAAAATTGCCTTATGGCCAATTAGTTTTGCTGCGAACATGCTTGCGGCAAAGACATTTAGGGGGAAACTACCTAGAACCAAAAACAACCTGTATTGTGTGTGAGTCTATATACACATACGCATGCACAAACACACATAAATACAAAGAGAGAGAGAGTGATAAAGCAAATGTGGCAAAATGTTAATTAGAAAATCTGAGTGAAGGATATGAGTCATTTTCTATAGGTTTGGAATTATTAAAATTAAAAAATTTATTAAAAAGAGTCATTGTCCATAATCAAAGAAATTTGTTTATACTAGGAGATTTTTCTAAAGGAAAAATTTAATACTTATGATTTATTGACCAAAAAAAAGTGGTAGCCGGGAGTCCACGTGGGATGGTAAGTATAGTTTTCTTTTATTTCAGTCAATCTGTTTGTGACCAACCCCACATAGTTATGTCTGCTTTGGTGTTTTAGAGAATATGGGCTAATGAAGCAAGGACTATGATTTCGGTACTCACAGGAGTATTCACAAAGCCCAGCCAATTTCACCACTTGGTACTTACATGAACCTTCTTGTTGATGCTAAGTGTTGGTCATAAAAGAACCTCAGTTAGAGAAGGTGTGAATGAATACATTTAACTTTTTACAATCCTTGGCAAAAACAGTCACCTCTTCTCTGATGCTAAGTTACTAGCAGCATCTTTGTGTAGGAGATCCAATACAGACGCGGGCACTTTGACAAAAAGTCTAATTAGCCATTGGCCATACCTTGATATATTTTGGTACAACTTTTCTTCACTTTTCAGTCTTTTTTGGAAGAACTATCTATCTAGAATTCTTAAGAGCAAGAGAGCAAAAAACAAAAACGTGAAGAAATGTCGATTACCATTTGTTGGAAAATTTAAGGAGTAATTAAATTTCAGCCTTTCCTAAGTTCTGGGTAAATTGGAGAATGATGGGAAAATCTTAAGAGAAAAAGCACCATTGTGACATTCATCTAAGGAATATCAAATCCTAGCACCATCACCCTGTTGCTAAGACCGAGCTGAGTTTATTGCATGTTGAAGGGAAGATGAAACACCACCTCTATCGTCAGAGTAGCCTCTTGTAGCCAGAAGGGCACAGTTGAGATGTGTGTTGAGACTGTGAAGTTTGGTTTCAGGCAGGTCTTGGTTAGGATTGAATAAACCTAATAGTTCAGAATTGGTGAATACGGCAAGATGAGGATTTCGAGGTGAGGGATTCAGAGAATCTTGGGAGCATGTCCTTTCTATTGAAAAGCTGGTGGGTCTTTCAGGAAGTTTTTGGACTCAACAATGAAGTTATTCACAACTTTTATCTTCCTGGAGAAGAGTCTCCTGGAATAGTAAAGTTATATCGATGAAACAGTGGATGGTGAAGTCTTATTAATGTAGGCAGTGAGGTGTGTGGTTTCTACAAATGTTATCTGAGTGCTAAGAATGTTACATGTGTTATGTCATTTAGTCACAGGCAAACCCATTTTAGAGATGTGGAAGTGAAAGGTCAAGGGAGTTAAATAAGTTTCTTAGGGGTTGTACACATGGTATATGGCAATACCAGCATTTGAACCGAGAACCTAGGTCAGCTTGACCTCAGAGCCCAAGTTCTCCTGATAATGCTGCTATGGCCAGGCCAGCTTGCTCTTCACATTCTTGAAAGAGTGGGAATATGCAGTTCTTGAAATTGTTGCGTTTCCTGAGAGGCAGACCCTGAGACAAGGATTTGAGTGCAAGTAGTAAATTTAGAAAGTGAAGGAAGCACTGTAGGGAGTGGGGAAGTGAGACAGGAAAAGGAAACATTTAAAGGGGCATGTTATCAAACTAGATGTCACTGTGAACAGCTGGAGTTTAATCCTCCTGGGAACCGAGAGCTGGTTTAAAACACTCACCTGAGTTATCCCACCCAAGGGGGAAGGCGCAAAGGAATCAGTCATTTGGTTGGGAGCTGCTCCCTGCTGCTTCCAGACTTCCATGCTGGTGACAGAGCAGGCTCTGGCAACAAGAGGACACCTCAGGCAAAGGCGCTGACAGTTGGAAGTCAAGCCTGGTACACTGAGGGGCTAAGTGTAAAGGGATGGGGCAGGGCACCAGTGGGATCTCCCAAGGCAATGATTCCAACTGAAGCTAGGAAAATGGTTTGGTTTTACATCTGGTTTATTAGTGCAATTGGGCTGCTGCAGGCTTTTGCCTGTTTCTCCAGCCCGAGAGAACACAGGAATGTCTGTGGGCATTCCAGACCTTCTTGCACCTCTGTGCACCTGCTTGCCAAGCACACTTGCCCGTTGCTGCCAGGAAGAGCAGAGATGAGGATGGCTGGGGGCTGTTGAAGAAGTGATAGATAAGCAAATGTCAGGGGGAGAATGGGACAGATTATCTACAAAGCTCTGAGACAAATGAGTCCTCAAACTGATGGGAGTAAAGCAAAGTACGAAAGAATCCATCACCAAAGTGAAGTTTAGTAACATGCTTAATATGCCTTAGGCAGAAAATCTCAAGAACCCAGAGTTCTTTGATTGTTGGGCATTTTTCCTTATTATGCTGCTCTGTTTCTCCTTAACAGAGTAAGAGTACTATTAACGGGCCTTGTGGTGTATACAGACATCCTCTCCCACTTCTGAAGTTACTTTGTTGGGTGTGGCAGAATAAGCCTGCTGGTCTCTTGTTAGAAAGTCTTTAGAAGTACCTTATTAATAGGTGACAACATTGTGTGGCTTTGAACCCTCCTTGGACATTAAAAAAAAAAAAAAAGCCAACCTTCTATTGGGCAGTTCTAAGGGTAATTATATTTAAATGTTTTTTACTCAGGATTGTTTCTTCATGCTTAAGAATTAGAAAGTAGTATTTTGAAGTGTACTTATACGTACTATTTGATTTGCACTGATGTGTGGACCTTAAATACTTCTCTAATCTATAGCTGGTTTCTCCTTGACTTATCATTTCAGAAGACTTTTCCCAAATCCTGCTTATCTGTAGCTTAGCATAATTTGTTTTTCCTGTCATGTTAGTTCTATGTCTTTGTCTTAAAATGGATGGCAAATGGGAGTCAGGTTTCTCACTGTTGGAGTGGGAGATTACAGACAAGAAAGGCTGAAACTATCCATGTGGTACTGGATTAGAATTGGAGACCTTAATATGAACTCACGTTTAGCTTAATGTAGACTCACATAGATACATGTAGAAATATTTACAGATCTGTGTATATAAGTCAGCTAGTACACATACATGTATTTCCTTGCTCTGTCAGCTGCCCGAGCCAAGAAGCAAGAGCGCCAGTTAGGACCAGCGCACCTAGTGCACCAATCTTGGTTTCTAATGACATTCTTCAAAAGAAGGAACCAGTGCTTTTTGGAGAAATGGCTGATTTCAGAGCTGGGGCAGGAATCAAGGAAGTGCTAGAAAAAGAGAGAAATAGGCGGAGAGACAGAAAGGGGAGAGGGGTTGAGAAAAGAAGAGAAAACAAAAACCTGACAGTCACTGTCTCAGCCAGATATCAAGGTCAACATCAACGGCAATGTTATGTTGATGGCATGTACTCTGATATGGTGTGATGGGAATGATACTTTACCTCTGTGGTCTTCCTCCCCAAAACTCAGTGACCTCAGACAAATTGTGAGAAAAACATCAGACAAACTCCAGTTGAGGGTCATTCAACAAAATACCTGACCAGCACTCCTCAAAACTGTCAAGGTCATCAAAAACAAAGAAAGTCTGAGAAAATGTCACAGCCAAGAGGAAGCTAAGCAGATGTGAGGACTAAATGTAATGTGGAATCCTGGATGGGATCCTGGAACAGAAAAGAGACATTAGGTGAAGACTGAAGAAATTGAAGTGTGGATGTTAGTTAATAATAATGTATTAATATTGCCTCATTGGCTGTAACTAATGTATCAGACTACTGTAGGATGTTAAGGACAGAAGAAGCTGGGTGTGGGGCATGTGGAAACTTTCCGTACTATCTTTGCAACTTTTCTGTAAATATAAAACTATTCTAAAATAAAAAGTTTATTTTTTAAAAGTACATTACAACATCAAAATAAAGAGGAATATTGGTGTGAAAATATTCAAAGAATGTATTGAATATTGGAAAACCAAAGTCATCAAAACATTATTTTCTTCAGTGGTAAATTGGACAGTGTTTCTGGGTTGTAAGAAGTTTATTGAACAGTTCTTCTTTCTCTTTCACTTAACATGTTACATGTAGTTATCTAAATTAATTAATAAAACTGTTTTAACACATTCTATAAAATGCTTTATTATTTAGTAGTATGTTAAAATTTAATCCATAAATGTAGCACAAGGGAAGAATTCTGTTTTCGTCTCTGTTGTGTGATGTTTTTAATCAGTTTTGCGTTCTTGTGCTAATATTTTTACTTGATAGAATGATTTCACCTCGGAGGATGTAGGCCAGCCTTTACATTTCATCACAAGGGAGAACATGCACAGTGTACAATATGCTGCATCCTCTTCAGTTACCATGTTTTTGTTAGTGTAAAAGTGATTTTGATAGTAATCCTCCAAAAACAATGTGAAAATATAGATAGTTTTGTCTTTTCTCCAATACTCAATGCTAAAGGATACTCGCTGTTAAATGATAAGTTTTATTGTTTTTTCTTTTACTCTCAGGCAGTTCATGTTAGCACCTTTTGGGGTTTTTTATTATGCATTTTCATTGGGTCATCTGATGAGCCTCTTTATAATAGCTTTTGTTGTTTTATAATAAATTCTTGATTTTTCAGCATTCTGAGTCAGTCCTAAGTGGCAAATATTTTTGTTTTTACCAAATTCGTGAACTGCCATGATATAAAGGTCCTCTGTAAAATAAATTTGCACCCTTCAGTTTCCTGTGTCAGGAGAGAGTTTTAAAATCTGTAGTAGATTATTCCTTGTGTATCTAAAATGCTTACAGAAATTGGCAGTTCCTTCCAGGTTCCATACTTGTCAAATGATACCTTCCTTGTCATAGCTTGTAGCAGTGTCTGATCATCACCCAGGGTTTTGGCACAATGACTGTAGTGTTGAGAGTTTGGGTTGGCATGATGATAATACTTACATAAGGTTGAATTTTTTAAAGTATGTTTTCCCTTTTTAGTTTTTCAGATGTTTTTGTAAACTTTATAGACATTCTAGTCCCATATGCTTCTGCATATATTTGGCTAGATTCATAAAACCGAGATATCTTGACTGGCTCAGAATTCAGTTCTTCATTTGTAATAAAAAGGGGTAGCCAAGAGTGTATTTTTCGATATACTTTGAGAAGAGTAAGTATGAGACCTTGAAGGAACTATAGTTCCTTCTAAGTGTTAGACATCTAATCAGTAACTATTTTGGATCAACACTCGCAGACTGCAAATGTGGGCAGCTAGTTAAGAGCTCTCTCTAGTTCAAAAAAAAAGGAAAAATCTGAATCGTTTTGGCCTTGTTCTGGTGAATGAAATTAGATGGAATAGGAATGATATGTAATTTACATATCATGCTATTGGGATTTGGTATTTTTAGTCAGTTGATCAAGTTTATAATCTGTTGCAGTCACCTTGAAGTTAAAATCAGATCTTTTATCCTGCCTTCTCCTTTCATACCACCTTTGCTTCTGCATCAGAGGAGCAGATGTTATAGTCTCCTTGGAGGTCTTCAGAACCTGGGAAAGAGCATGTTAGGATAGAATACAAACATTTTCAAGTTAGAAGGTTCCTCAAGAAGTCACTAAATCTAGTAACTTCATATCTCAGGTAAGGAAATGGAGGCCCAGAGAGGTGATGTGGCCTGTCTAAAGTCATCCAACCAATAGAGTTGAAGCCAAGAATTCTTGGCCGAGGTTTTTTCCCATTACAACATGAATTGCATCAGAATTTTTGTCTTAGGCACCATTGCTTCTTTTGTTAGGAGCATTTTAATGGAGTTCAAGCATCAGTTCAAAATATCAAAACTGATCTCAAATAGATATGAATGACCGTATGTTCTGGTTCCCCTGAGGTAGGCTGGTTTCCATTTCTTGTATTGGCATCATTATTAATAACACCCTATATTACTCCCTAAATTGTCTGGGTTTTGATGATAGATTATATTTGCCTTGTTAGAAGGACATGCAGTGTTAGTTTGCACATCTTCTCTGTTCTCTTTACTCCCACACAAATAGTCACGTTCTGGAACATGAGTACTTATTAAATCGCTGATTTTGCTTACTTCTATTGATTTTACCACGTAGGCAGTGCACATTGTTCTTGTATTTCAGAGAGATTCAAGCGTTAAAGCATGCTAGGCCTCAAATGCAGAGGCTTGCTTGTTATTTAGTTATTTATTTTAGGTAATTCTGCAGAAGTCAACTGTGGAAGCCTTTAAGATGTCGTTAATGTGTGCTTCAGTATGCTTCTCTTGTCCTTGTAAGCACATTTTATTTTAGCCATTTATAACCTGTTGTTGGAGTATGGGGAATAGTACAAATAAAAGATTAAAAATATGTATCAGAACATTAAAATTTGGGGTAAATATAGTTCTGGAGGGATAATTCTTTCTCATGCACTAGATCATTTAGTCTAACACGTCATTTTATGTGGGAACTGAGTCACAGGGAGGTTCAGTGTCCACTGCCTAAAATGCAGCAATACATGGTAGTTTTAAAATTCTTCTCTTCCTGAAACAGATCGTAAGACTGGAGTTTTATGGCCTAAACTTTGACTTCCTGTCTGGTTTCTGTAGTGTGGGTGGTTGGTATTGTCCAGGCGTCCCACATTTGCCCAGCTGAATGTCCTTCTCAGGATAGATTATATGGAAGTTGGCCTGGCTGTGCAGAAGACACAAAGTCTCATCCTGAGCCTCGTACCCAGCCGCTCGGTCCCTGTTATCACAGAAACTTGTCATCAATGAAAGCTTCTTATGTGATAGAGGAGATTTTCATTTTGAGGTGCTGCTTGGCTTTTAACTCATTTCTCCTTATGGGCTGAGTATTGTAACCTGTTGCTGTGATTTCATTACCTTTTTGTATTTGGTTTCTGTTTGTATCGGTCATTTATACTGCTGACAGTCTAAAGAATAAAAACAAAATGAAGCATCCTAATTTTGTCCCTCTGCCCATTTAGTTTGAGTTTGATTCAGTTATCTAATTGTAGTGGTGAAAATTTTGCTAATTAAAAAAATTTGCTCTTACATTACACTCTCAGAGTTGATGTCTTCTTTTGTTTCTTAAGTTTGTAAGTTAAACATAAGCACAAACTTTTAATTATATTTTGAAATTGAATTTTTCCAGAGAGCCAAGAGAACTCCAATGTTTGGAATTAACCTAATGTTCTTTTATTTCTCTTCCTTAAAAAAAGAACACACACTACTTTTCTTCACTTTTTGTAAGAATTTAAAATTAGTGACCTAAAAGGTATGCTTCTCTGTTTAATACAGTTTCCTGACTCTTTTCCTCGGCACATAGAAAATGATAATATTTGTTTGTCGTAACAAGAAGATGCCGGAGGCCAGAGATGCCCGCCATGCTTAGCTTTGGCTATTCTGGGTCCTTTGCCTCTCCTTAGAAACTCTAAAGTCAGCTCGTCAGTTGCTAACAAAAAAGTCTGCTGTAATTTTGGTTGATTACATTGAATCTACAGATCAATCTGGGACCGATATTGATCAATATTGGTCCGATCTGATATGGTCTGGTTTACGTGTTTTAAAAGGACATCTCCAGATGCTGCAAAGAGTGGACGGGGGCCTAGAGGCGAGGCGAGAGTGGAAGCAGGGAGACCGGTTACTTTGTAGCAGTCACTTGGGGGTTTATGGCAGAGTGGGTCAGAATAGTAATAGTGAAGATGGAAGTGGGTGGGATTGGGGATATAGTTTGGAGGTAGGATTGGCAGAACTTTCTGATGGTTTGCATATAGTGAGCAAGGAAAAGCTCAGCATCAAGGATGAGTCCTAAATTTTTGGCTTTGCCAACGGGGTGAATGGTGGTACTGTTTACTAAGTAAGATGGGAAAATTTGGGAAGGGCAGTAGAAAGTTTGGCCAGGGGCTGGGAGGTGGGTCATATTGGTAATCAAGGGGTTTTTCTTTTGGAGCCTGTAAGATAACCAAGTAAAGATATCAAACGAGGTGGAGGTGGAGGAGAGAGACGCATTAAAGGCATGGTGTTGGCTGAGACATGTAGCACAGGAGTATAGAAAGAGACAATCAGGACCGAACCCTCTTTTACTCCAACATGTAGAAAGAAGAGACTGAGCAAAGGAGATTGAGGAGGAATAAGCCAGTGGGGGATGAGGAAGACCAGGACATTGTGACATCATGAAAGCTAACTGAAGAGAAGAGACTGAGAGGACAAATGAGATAAGACTAGAGAAGGGACTGTGGACTTTTTGGCAACATAAAGATCTTAGCAGGTGTGGTCTCAAGTGAGTGGGTTTCAGGTGGAAGACTGACTAATGTGAGTTGAGGGGGAAATCCTGGGGAAGGAAGGAGAGATAGCAACTACTGACAACTCGCCGTAACTTGCTGTGAAGGATGATAGACATTAGAACTGTATCTGGAGGGTCACAGGGGATGAAGGGAGTGATTATATAGGGATGATGCAGTAGAGAAGGGGAAACTGATCTGGGTGGACAGCTAATTGAATGAGTGAAGTCTTGATGAGGCAGCAAGAGGTGAGATCGAATGGGAGGGTTGGTCTTTGCTGGGTGCAAAGTTGATTCATCCATAGTAACAGCAAGGAAGACAGGATGTAGGTACATGTGCAGATGGGAGATCAGCAAATTCCTCCCTGATGGCTTTTATTTTCTTAATGTAGGTAGGGCAGGTTCATTAGCTGAGAGTGAGGGTAGGATGGTGGGTAGGCAATCTGAGAAAGTATGAGTCTTTTTGAGAGTGGGAAACAGAACATGCCAGGTCAGTATTAGAGGGTTGCCTGGTAGTGAGGATTGCCCATTTGAGATTTGTGATCAAGAATTTTAAATGTGATTAGTCAGCAGATAAAGTCAGATCAATAGATGGGTTTTTATTTCACCATGTTTAGTTGCTGGTGTACAGCTCAGAGTATGTAGTTAATTGGGGTTAGCCAGGGTTCCTGCACTGATTACAGAGGATAGTGTTGGGTACTAGAAATAATCAAACAAATTGATTTGGAATTGCGGCTAGAATTAAGATAAATGTAATAGATGCCTGCTTTGGAATTCTTTCTCATCAACTGAGAAAAATTTCAAATATGTTACTTTAAAAGAAGAATGTTTAACTTTCAGATATAACGTAGAAATGCTTTTGACAATGAAAGAAGACAGGCTAATACATTTTCTTGTCATTTATAGAGGTTTAATAGAACCTTTTAAAAACATTCAAGAATAGATACTGTTTTTGAGTACCTAGAGACTGGGAGAAAGAAGGGACCCACAGACCCAATAGAAAAATGGGCGAAAGTCATGAACAGACAGTCTGCTGAAGGAGAAATGCAAATTCAATCCATTTCTCACTTGTTAGGTTGGCAAAAATCTTAACATGTGCTAATATACTCTGCCGTAAGGCTGTGGAGAAACGGGTGCTCTCATTTATTACTGGGTGGAGTGCTGCTTAATGCAGTCCCTAAGGAGAGGAATCCAATGAGATCAACCAAAAGTGCTATTGTTTTGCCTTTTACTCAGTATTCCGATGAATTTGTCCTGCAGATGTACCTGCACACATACAAAATGACCTGTATACACAGGGTTATTCATCGAGTCATTGTTTATAGTGATAAAAGACTGGAAACTACTCAAGTACTCATCATCGGGGCTGGTTGGTTAAACTAGAGTACATTCACACGATGAAATACTATGTGATTGTTAAAAAAGGAAAATCTCTATGTGCTGATGATGGAGACACTTTCAGGATATGTTTCTAAGTGAAAAGACCAAAATTCAGAACAGCTATAGCATTCTGTTTCTTTTCTAAAAGAGGAGAAAATGATGTATACTTACGTTTATTTGGTTTTGCATAAAGAAACACTAGAAGAATAAACAACAAACTAATAAGTGGTTATATGTCGAAGACAAGGGAGAACAAATTTGCCGGGGACAAAGGAGGAAATGAGACTCCTCAGTGTACATCTTTTTATGTCATCTTGATTTTGAACCATGTAAATATATTAATCTACTTTTAGAAAAAAGAGTGGGTACTTCAAAATAAAGTTTTGGAAATTATCGTTATCTTCATCACTATCATTATTATAAGTTGGTTAATACAGGTTGGTGATGCAGGCAGTAAGTTAAGAAAAAGATATTAATGGGATTTTGTAATTTGAGGGCACTGGGATTATTAGAAAAATTGCTGAATAAGTTTATGTTTCTCGTCAAATTAAGAGAAAATAGTATCTGAAGAAAACATTATGAAAGTAACTGAACAGTAACCTAAGTCGTAAGTATTTTACTATAATGCAGTGATAGCTTTGTTATTTTTTAAAATCTTCATAATTGCTTTTGGAAGTTTGACGTATTACATTTGGTCTTTTAACTGTTAAGAATGTGACATTTAATGAATTTCATGTTGCCACAAAGTCTTTTCCTACTAATATACATTATTGTTTTGTATTTTATTTTAGCCTTTTTTCTGGGAATATTTATGGACTTCAGAATACCCCTGAAAGCTAAATGGTTCATTTTGTTGCAGGTGATGAATTTTGTTTGTTGAAACTTTCTAAAGACAATGTGGGAACATGGAATAGTTCTTCCACATCTTTTGCATTTTCAAAAGAGCTGAAACTGGACGGTACATGAGATCTTCTGTCCTTTGGATGAATGGGACATTGTTCTGGGGGAATGTATCTTTACCTAAGACACTACGACATCAAGTCTTTGAAATTTATGTGTCCATGAGATCCCCATACCTAGCCAGTGGTGGTCTTTGTTCCATTGTGGGAGTCCAGCTCAGCCATGGCTTTGCGCCTCTCGAAGGGTGCCTGGCACATGGTAGATTGTTGCATTAATTTCCCTGAGCTTCAGTTCCCTCTTTGATATAATGGAATGATAGGTTTTTTGCCCTGCTAACCTCCCTGGGTGATTCTAAAAAGCAAACGAGATGATTATACATAGTGAATGCTTTGTGAATAGAACATAAACTTAGTTATTTTTTGGTTTCATCTCTTTTTAAGGATTTGGCATGGATTACTTGTGAGTAAGTTCTTTTGGTATTGTTTTTCTCCTATCTGAAGCTTTCTTCATTTTGTGTTTTTCTAGATCTTAGTGGCATGCAGTGAAACTCTTAGCCTTGCTTTATCCATGAACCTTGTTGACGGTTGTCTGGTAAAAACCCTATTGATGAATACATAGGAGGAGGTGCTATTCTTAACTCTTGTGGCTTAATAGCATTTTATTTTTCTGCTACCACTAGTTGAAGCAGCAAGGTATAGAAGAAAGAAGACGAGCTTTCCATTCACTTCCCTGGTTTTTTTGCTTACTTTAATTTCTCTGAGCCTTTATACATCTCTCGTACGGGGATAAAACCTAGGGTGCTTATATGAAGTAAAACTAATGTAAGTAAACTAATTATCACAATGATTTGTAGAAGTAGTTGTTCACAAAATGGTAATTTCTGTCATTGTCATTATTGATTTTTTTTTGAAGCTAGGTTGTTTACTATTCTAATATGTTATTGTTAGCCTATTGCCAAAATATTTGGCATATAAGCTTTTGCTTACCCTGCAGAACAGACTAGTAAGAAAGGGGTTTGAGGAAGGATTCATGGCAGCTGGCAGCGTTCATTTAAGTACCATTGTCTGGTGGGCACTGTGTGCTCTCCATCAATCCTCCAGTTATCTGTCCGTAAGGAGTTTTTTTTGTTTTTTTTTTTAAAGTTGGATATAGTCAAGTACGTTCAAATTAATGCCATAATTATGAGAAGAGATTTTGGGGGACGGGAATAACTACTAGATAATAGAAAAATTCCGCTTGTAAGTAATCTTTAATCCACAGGATTTTTCTAGCAGATGTTTGCATTTTTCCCATCCCTCAGTACCCTGTGTACCTGTCATACTGGATAAATAAGTTCTGATGAATTCACACCTGGTGTCATAGAAACGGTGGAAATCAAAGATTAAAACAGAGCACATTGTGATCAGGTTCCCTAGGGCAAATTGCTGCATAGTACTGAGCCAATTATTCAGGTACTTGAGACCCAGGGCTGTTTTATGGAAATGGAACCGACATTTATTGAACACTTACTGTGGCCAAGCTCCATGCTAAACATTCTGTGTGTTCTGTTGATTAATCTTAAAAACATCCTTGTGAATTACATGTGTTATTTTACAGCTGAGGCTACTGAGACGTGGAAAGATTAAGTAATTTGCCCAAGGTTACACATTAAGTGAGAACAGGCCTGAAACCTTAACTTGGTCTGACACTAAAATCTGTGATTTTTCCTCTGGGTAGTATCACCAGTCATGCCTTTGCCAGAGGTATTTGGCATGTTACTTTTCAGTTTTGGTGGTAAAATCTTGACTAGTATGAAATAAGATGCTACAAAAGAAATATGCAAAGATGATGTTTTCCTTTGCCTGATAAGATGTTGTGCTACTGCTTTTGGTCAGAGAATGACAAGAGTGAAATATTACAGGAAGACCAGCTAGGCCAAAGACTAACCAACATAACCAGTTTAGCTTATGCTTCTGAAAGTTTGAGCTGAAAATAAGGTCTAAATGTATGAAAAATTAAGTGTGGGTGTTCTCAGTAGACTTACTAAAGTCTTCCTGAACAGAGGTTAGGAATTCCATAGAATTCAAGATTCATATTTTTTGCCTATGAATCTTTCACACATGTATTTAATCCAGATAATAATATCCACTCTAGCCTAGACCGAAGGTGACTTCCGAGAGCACAATTTGAACACCCTTCCATAGGGAGCTGTAACTTTCATGTACCAGATCTCCTGTTCATCCAGCTTCTTAAAAGCGTGGTCTACCAGAATGTTCCAAACCCAAATAGTAGAGAAGCTAAAGTTTGCTCTGTACAAGTTCCTTGTCCAAGACTTAAAAGCTCAAAATGCGTAGGTTTGTGCGTGCTCTGACCCTGGGTATACCAGTGTGAGTAATTTATTTTCTTCTTTGGAAGATTCTTTAGATGTCTTGAAAGTATATTAAAGGAATTTTTTATCTCCAAGGCATATTCAAATGACTAAGACTTCAAAAGTAACAATTGCTTCCATCACAAGGAAGAGATCTGAGAGTGATAATTTTAGTAGCACTGATTGTTATGCCCAATAGTCTCTTTGTAAGATTCTATTTGTGAAACTGTGTGTTTAATTTCAGGAGTGGGCTTTTGAGTAGAATATAGTAAGTACATTACTTTAGAAAGGAATGAACGGTTCTGTCTGCTATTTTAATTGTCTTAGTATCAGCTCTCAGCTTCTCAGTGGTCACTAGAATTGGAGCAGCAAATATAGCAGATAATCCTGAAGCTTCATTTTAGG